CCAAACTGATGTAAATAATCTATGATGCCAAAATCACAACAATCCTTAAAAAGGGCAGAGAAGAACTTTGTACATTTCAGATGGACTAGAGAACACAATGATTAACTGTTAAATATGTGTTTTTGTTATTCTTCCAGGATTAAAAAAATGTTCATTATCAAGAAAATAACATGGTAATTAGAGGTAAGAGTTCACAAAAAGTTGTCTTTCATAAACTCCTGAGTGCCTGAGCACATGCTGTAATGCCGCCGCCGACCAATTAATTTTGATAAATGCGACTGCTAGTCTCAGACCGGCAGGAGGAAGATTGCACAATACAGAAATATTGGAGTTGCTGGGGCAGGAATAAAAAACTGATCGTGTCAGATAAGGAAGAGGTACTGGCCAGAAAAAGAAGCAGACTTTGGCCACAATTGTTCACGAATCCCAAAGTAGACAGAACGGCAACTATAGAACAAGTTCTATACAAAGGTGTGGAGTCGAGCGTCTGGTGGACCGCCTTGTTTCAGACTATATCGCTGTCTGTGGTGCTGAACGGGTTCAGTACCACAGACAGCGACAGTCTTTTGCGTGGGGAGCGCTTTAATTGTCCGCCCTAAAAATAAACGAGTTTTAAGCCATACCTGAACCCCGAAGTCTGCAGAGAACCCTGATTTAAACCAAAACACAAACACGGTTATAGGATTCCGCCAGTCTAGATTTGGTTGTTAGGGCAATAAACTGAAATCTAATCAAAGTATACACACACATATTTCTAGATCGTTATGCAGTTACGTAAGATTATAGAAATCACAAACATAACAAAGACCCAAAAGCGACTAAAATAGTTGAAAATCAAACTTACGAGTGCCATCAAACCGTGTGGCTATTGTGTCCAGAAACGTGTTCTGTGGCGCTAATAATCCCTTCATCACAGGCATTTTCCCTGTTTAATGTCCAAGTCCCCATCAAAGTTATAGAGGAGAGACTGCAAGTCCAGATGTGTTAGGCGCTCCCATTGAAGCCGCTGGAGCTTTATGAACAAGCTGCTATTTGGTCAAGTCAGCACAATGCACTCCCTAGTCGAGGGTGTGTGTGCACGTGCTGCGCGCACCCGCGTCTACAGGAGGCTTTCATTGCGTGCGTGAACGGCGGGAGAGGCAGCAGCCCACAGGTGCAGTTCAGGTGAAAGGCAGGGACTGGCGTGAGAGCCCGAGGAGAGTCTGTCAGCGATGCAGTTATTGTGATGCTGCTGTATGGGCTCAGTGATCGTCCCTCCTCAGAGCACAATGGTGGGAGGCATCAATCTCTCCCCAAAACGACTGTGGTCAGGGAACAATAATAGAGCTGGACGTGTCAGACACAAAAACTTTTAGTTTGTAAAAACCCTGCACAATACAAACACGATCGCAACAATATAGTTTACAAACTGCCTAACTGCGTAACTGCGTCTTGAGACGCACGATTCATTCAAACTAAGGTGAAGGTGTTCTCTCTCTCTCTCTCCCCCCCCCCCCCCCCCCCCCCCCCCCCCCCACCCACACACACACACGCACACTATGTTGCCAGCATTTGTCACCAGAACCGATGTCTAGCGCCCTCCAAGGGCTCAATAAGTCACGACAATTACTGTTAACTTGAAGACCACTCTTCGCTGTTACAAACCCGTCAGCAGCACAATATTGCCCTCTTGTGGTGAAAACAATAGCACATTAATCAAAGATGACTCGTTCACCAGAATAATGAAGCACATTGTTGTTTGAAATAATCCACAGGTGCTGTGATACACAACTAGATCGACCAAAACATATGACATTATTTATAGTTTATAAGGCTTTAAGATCAGTCTACTGGTATCACTCGGGCAGTTTCCCAAAAACATTGTCTAAAAAAAAAAGTCCAACAATAGACAGAATTGGGATATCCTGCTGTTTATTTGTTTGTCCATTTCCCTTGTGTGTTTAAATCAAGGCTGTATGTCAGTCAGTAACCACAACCCTGGTTATTGTTAGATAAGGCCGGATGTTTGCTAAATTAATCTGTACCAAAGCCCATATGTGTATTAATTATTCATTCATTCATTTTCTAGAGTTTAATTATTTCCGAGGTCACGGTGGGAGTTGGAGCCATACCAGCAGTGAGCGGATGAGGGCGGGTTACACCCTTGTGTCAGTCCATTAGTGAGGGCCACATTAAGTCCATGTCTGTCATTTAGAATGTCCATTTAACCTAGTACCCAGTAAACCCATGCACTCATAGAAAGAGCATGCAAACTCCATACAGAAAGGGGAGAGGGTCACACCAGCAGAGCAGTTACATTTATGGTGTGAGACCACATCTGTCATCATGTGGCCCACATATGTGGATTATGTGCTGTGCCAATTCTTTAAGCACCATATGATGCACATTAGCAAAACATAAATTGACATTATGTGTGTCCTGTATTGTTAAAAAAGGAAATGTAGAAGACGCAGGATGTCTGCTTTAAATCATACACTATGCTTTGACCTAGCAGGTGATTTCGGTTCACACAATCACTGACAGGCCGCACACGGGAAGACATGTCACTGGATTGAGTCAGAATGAGAGAGATGCGGGCTTTAATAAAACATGTGAGGCTCACAGAGAGGCATCACCATAATATTAAACCTCCAATGCATAATTAAACTATTCAATACATCCTCACTCATGAGTCGCAGTGAGTCATTATTGCTCAAACTATTGCTCCATCACTCATCTGTTGTTGAATGTTGATTGAGTCGGACACTTTAAACTCACAACAGAAGTCACCATCTAGTGATATTAGCATAATTACCAGTCAGTCTGGGCATTGGGTTGGTTAACCTTTACTGATCAGTTCACTCAGCTGAAGGTATTTATATTTCCTCTGAATCTGATGCCTTCTTTGACGATACCACCAGATGTCACTAAAAGTTGCAGCAAACGTATGCACCATAGATTTGCACTGGAGTGATACTGAGCTCCTGTAATTCTCCCCGTCTGTTTTTTATTTTTATTTATTTTTTGTTTCATATATTTGGATTCGTACCAGATGTTTGTGTCTGTGTATGTGTGTTTGTACTTAAAGCCCTGCATTGTTTTAGAACTCCCTTGCTGGGTTGCAAAGAGTACACTGTGCTGACATTTTAACTTAATGGCTTTTATGATACCCTCTGGTGCCGTACAGGAAATGGACAGAGTTCTATGAAGATATGGTATAAGTTCATTTTACATACACACCCAGCCCAGCTTGTTTGTGTAAGTACACACTCAAAGCCCACATAGACACATACACATTGCTTATTGGTTCATTGGTAGGTTGTAGTAATGGTACATGAGGGAGAAAGTTACATTTTATTACTTTGTTTGGTCCTGATGTATTTCAAAATACTCTCTGTTCTGTTTGGAAGAGACATTCTTCTATGTGACTATTATGGGTTATTTAATTATTTTACCAGTGATTTTCTTTTTTTGGAGGGGGGTTGCAGAGGATTGGCTAGTTGCTTGACATATAGACTGTATAGTCCTATAAGGGAAAGTGAGATTTGTAAACATTTTTTTTTTTTAGAATTCTGGTCTCTATGTGCAGAAACAAAAGAAGCAAAAGAAAAAAACAAAACAAATCGTAGAGCCCGATCCATTGCCTCTTAAATTACAGCATTATGCCTCTGTCTAACAGTGGAGAGTCACTAACTATATCATGAGTTTATAATAACCACATCAAATCCATGGCGAATGAGTTAGAATGAAAATCTAACCTAATTTGGCAAGATACACGACTGTGAGAGCGATGAGGGCATCCCCTGAGATGAGGCCACAACTGTGAGTGCAGTGTGCTGCGATGGTAACATGCTCTGTGAGTGTGTAATGGTCCTAATTATCATTTAGCATGCCAGCATCATTGATGCTGTATTAAGCCAGTGACAAAACAGAGGCAATAGGTGAAAGAGGAACAACAAAGTGAAAGAGAAACACACAGAGACATCCACACACACACACACACACACTTACATCCAGCTGAGTGACATCTCTCTCTGCAAATTAGTCACAATGAATGATGTGTAACCAGCTATGACTCGCTCTGGCTGGGGATAAAACTAATTCACTTTGTCTAATTAGTCAAAAGTAGTAGGGCACGCTCCCTTTCCCCAAATACACACTCCCATCTGCCCACAACATGTCAGTTCAAACGGCAGACCTGTATCCGTATCAGTGTAACATTTCACGAGACAAGTTGCAGAGAGACAGATCTCTGACTCAGCTGCCGACCTTCTCTGAAATCCTCACAGCTCAAAAGCCTGCAGGTCTTTGCTGGGTGAGAACATAACACATAGTTTACTGTAAGCTACAGGTACTGCTTGTTTGCAGTTGACATCATAAAGTGCAGTAAGCATAGACTCAAATTTGGGTAATAAAGTTTTCTGTATAGTATAGTATAGCATTGCATAAGATAGCATAGTGTAGTGTGAGTGTGAGTTGAAAAATATCTATTATCTGTATAAGGATGCTACTGGTGTGGGGTCACATAGTGCAGCATATGGCCGCATATTTTGCATAGTATAATATGGTATAAATATAGCAGAATTGTATAGCATTAGTATTAGTATGCAGTATAGCATAGCATAGCATGGAAAAGTATAGTAAAGCATAGCATAGTGTAGTATAGTATAGTATAGCATAGTATAGTATAGTATAGTATAGTATAGTATAGTATAGTATAGTATAGTATAGTATAGTAGTATTTGAACTTCCACCTTGTCTGCTGCACTTTGTTACCATGGAGAGCTCCCATACCCTAAAGACAATAATAAGTGCGTGCACAGAATGCGGCAGAATGTAATAAATAGATTTATGCACAATTGTCACATTTAATACATTTACGGAGCGCGCTGGTGAATTCATTATTACACCATATGCTAATGCAGCTGGGTCTGTGTAGCCTATTTATGAGTCTGTGGGGAGGGGCCTCTCTCCGCTCGCTCTCTCTCTCTCTCTCTCTCTATCTGAAATGTAACCAACAGCTGCTGACTCCCGGCATCAGTGCCGTAGCCTGATATTTGATGGGTAAATATTCCAGGCGGAGCTCCGTGCATTGTTCTCTCTTCACTGGGGTTTGACGAAGCTCAGCAGCCGCATGGATAAAAGGTCGATCTGAACTTAACACGAAGCGGGGAAAACACCGTCGGTGCACTGAAGAAAAGAACATCGAGGCAGCTGGTGGAGAAAAGGAACGGGAGAAATAACTACATGGACAGTGGAGGCGACTTCACGTTGGTGTTCACCAGCAGATCGATGTAGAGGAGCGAACGGTCTGACAGTGTGTCTGGTCCACAGCACAGATCAGTGGAAGAGAGCCTGACACATGGATACGGTCGGTGTCTGGAACACGGAGCTGCTGTTGATGCTGTTGTTGTGTGATGGCAGGCTCGGTGGTGCTGTGTGTGTCGCCTGAAACAGGTTGGTGTCGCTTCCATCAAACTTCAGCAGAATCAGACGTGGGACGAGCAGCGCTCCTGAGGACTAAGTGAATCACTGTCATTCCCAGTTTCGCGCTTGACAATGACAGCAGCTGTATTATGAGCAAGTGTTTATCCAGCAGCCTCCACTGGACTTTCACTGGTTTCAGAGGGTGATCCTAAACGCAGCATCCGCCTGAAGGTCATCAGTTAATACCGGATTCCCATCAGATCTGTCTGTCTGTTTGTGTAGGTGTGTTCGTGTAAAAACTGTGCTTTTTCTAATCCCCAGACACAGACATTTAAATGGTTTAAGTCTGACCTCTGCCGCACTATTGAGTCTAAATACAACCCCATATGATGTTTATTAGTGTTATTGTTTAAAAGTATTTTTAAGAATAAGAATACTTTTATAGAGAAAAATATTTTTAACAACAATTTTCTAAATCAACTTCATTTACAAAATCGCTAAAAAAAATGGATAACAAGGTTAAAGGTTAAAAATTGACTTATTGACTGTATCCATGATGCGTGGTGACATGGTGAATTCTTAAGAATTCTTAAGAAGATGAAACTGAGCTTTGTCTTTCAGCTCACTCAGATAACAGTTTAGTTCTGGGTTTCGCTTATTTCGAGTGAAGGCTGTAGTAAAAAACATAAATTGTACTTGTTTTCATTTGAAAAAAAAATACTTGTTGCAAACAAAATGGACTAAGAACTATAACCAAGGCGTCAGAGAGATCTACACAGTAAATTAGATCAGAAAGAACCGCACGGTTGTGGACCAAAAAAACTCAACATCTACAAGTCAGACTGAAAACTGTTAAAAGAAAAGTCACACGTAAATGAAACAAAATAAGAACTATTAGCAGAAGATAATTGCTTAATACAAATTTTTTATATGTTGCTTAAATATTTGATTTCAAGTGTCTTTGCCTCCGTATTAGTGCGAGATCGCAGATGGACTCCCTTTGTAATGGAGCCAAGAAACGTGAGGGCAGTGATCCAGTCGTAGAGCCCAGGACCCCTCCTTCAAAGATGGCCCGACTGGAACAAAATGGAGCAGGACCTTCAACCCAGGAGAGGAGCCGACAGGGGAGTCCTGTCTCCAAAACCCCCGGTCTGGCCCAGAAGCCCACCACACTGAGGCCACAGGGCAAGAGCTGGCACAGCAGAGGTAATGAACTGAAGTGGGTAAAGGTTCAGAGGTCAAATTGATTCTGAATAACTCTGATTAGAGCTGCTCACACACATATTCAAATTGCCTGTTGTGTTACATCCTTTGTCTCTGCGACATCAGGGAACCTGCTGCCAGTGTTCTGTGTGGTGGAGCACAAAGAGAACCAGCTGGAGGGAGACAGGCCAGAGGAACACGCAGAGTTTGTGCTGGTCAAGAGGGATTTGCTGTTTAACCAGCTCATAGAAATGGCCCTGCTCACCCTGGGCTACTCTCACAACTCGGCCGCACAGGCCAAAGGTACGCAACACGGACGCAGAACAAATGAACACAAGGACAGGCAGATTGTAAAGTAACAACTTTACACTCTGTTCAGGTTTGATCCAGGTAGGCAGGTGGAACCCTGTACCTCTGTCCAGTGTCACAGATGCTCCTGATGCCACCGTGGCTGATATGCTGCAGGATCTTCACCACGTTATCACCCTCAAAATCCAGCTGCAGAGGTAAGGTGCAGATTTGACAGCAGTTGCCGGACCAACTTTTCAAATGTGATTCCATAGATTCTGTATTATAAAAAATGACATTTTTAGCTGTCAGTGAAGGCCAGAAAATACAGTGTAATTCACTGAAGTATATACCAGGAAAAAATTCCACTAATTTCAGTTCTCCTTCAACAGACTTTTTTTTTTCAAAGTAGGGCTGTCATGGGATTAAAGTTTTTAATAAGAATAATCTCCAGGTAGCTGCGGATTAATCACAATTAATCCTGAATAATTAGGACTAATCAGTGTTGCTGTATATGACAAAAACACAACATAATTTTACATCCTTTGTGACCAATTAAAATGACGTTATTATTAATGCAGCAAACCTTAGTTCTTAGTTTTTTGCTTGATAGGGTTGATGGATTTTAGCCATTACATCTTAATGGTGGATTGTAGAACCAGTCGTTGAAACTTCTAAAACTTCAGTTAAAGCACTCGTCCTCAACAGTATTAATTGCTCTACAGTCTCTCCATAGCTGCAGACTTACTTATTGTCCTGCTCTCAGTGAGGCTGGTCTGACACAAGCCAGGGATCTGACCTAATACTGAAGCTTTGTGTCGAGATGGTATTTGAAGATGAAGGTGCTACAGTGAATTTAAAACTCTTCCCCGCAGTGTGCCATCCCACTCAAGTCAAAATCAGCCTCCATGTGTAACTAACAGCTGGACACTGAAGGAAAAAGAAGAAACTGAGAAGTCTGTATTTTTATATGCAGTTTATTTGAAATAGCTCAGCAACCCCTGGTATTAAATTTAAATAAGTAAACAGATAAAGGGCATGGACCAAACCGGCGCCTGGTTTAATAATAATTTTTATTATTGGTTTCCTGCAAAGACTGATATTACTATTCAGCAGCATCCTCATCTTTGACTCTTTTACACAACTGAATTAAATGTAATGAGTGATTTTAATTTTCCAGTTCTGATGAATATTAATGAGTATTTTTAAGATGGAAACCAATAAAAGTTATTAGGCACCTATTATGTTTTGTTCTGATTCCCAGTAGCTGGACCATAGACATGGCCCACGCAGGTTGATGTTCACACATTATTAGACTCCATTGGTCTGGATTATAAATTTAAAAGATCTTACTGTACAAAATAACTCGACAAAAAATGGGGCACACAGACTGTAGGCCTTTTATATAAATTAGGGCTGTCAAACAATTTCAATTTTTAATCAGATTAATCACAGGGTAGCTGTGGATTAATCACGATTATTCCTGATGAATCGAGATTAATGGCCATTCCTGCCTATGACAAAAGGGATTATTGTTTACTTTATGATGCCTGAACAGAAAAACAAATAACAGCAGGTGGATGTATGTGTTTTTCTTTTATGTTGCGACTGTTTGAGAAATATATTAAAAAAACATTAAATCTATGAAAATTGCTATACTCAATAAAGGTGTCTTTTTACTTTTGTAGTTGCCCAAAAATGGAAGATCTGCCAACTGAGCAGTGGAGCCACTCTACAGTGAGGAATGCTTTGAAGGAGCTCCTCAAGGATATGAACCAGAGCTCATTGGCTAAGGAGTGTCCACTGTCCCAGGTATGAGACTGTTCCAAATGCATTAAATTCAATGCAGTGAAAAAAGGATAAGAAACCCCTTTTAAAGTCAGCATGAAAGCCATTTCTTTCCCTTTTTTCGTGTCCTGCAAACCAAGTCTGTGTTTGTGTCTTTTTAATGCATGACGCAGAGTTAGCATGTGATCCAATCAATAGACAGCGAGTCCAGATGTGGAGGTAGATAAGGTGGTGGGGCAAAGCTCTGGAGAGAGGCAAAGATAAGAGACGGTTATCTCTTAAAACGCCAAACAGCCTCGGGTGGTGCTGCACCGCCAACCTGTCTGACTCTCACTCCGTAGTATGTCTCTCAGCCGCTGTCTCACCCTCTCACTGTACATCACTGTTAATCTGTGTGACTATGGCTTTAGAATACATTTTTTAATTATTCTCCTATTAATTAAGCAAATATCAAAATAATTTCACATTAACCGTACGTATCTTTGAGGAGCGGCTCATCGGACTCAGAATGATCAACGTAGTCATGGTTTCCAGGGCTTCTTCTCAGTTGATGGTCAATATCTTTTGCTACAGATGTTTTACAGCGTCAAAGTTTGACACAAAAGGCCTCTCTCCTTCTTCTTCTTCACTCTTTGTCACTTCCTCTATTCTGCCTCTTGTTTTCTTGGAGTGGATTAAAATAAATATGAAAAGATGAAAGGTGTAATTAGATGTAAAGATTGCACAGGGTGGTCTTTGGGGAGAAGTCCCTCGGTGTGTGGATGTGTTTGTGTGCGTGAGTCTCTGATGACCTCTAGTGTTTAGTTTTATCTTAGACACACACACAGGCAGTGATTTTACACAGAGATGCACACAACACACTGACACACTCATCTGTCTTTATTATCTTTTTTTACCTGGGGGTCTTTTTAATAACACAGATCTGAGGCCGTTAATATCAAGCGTGTGAACGGCAGAGACGAGCAGGCAGCAGCTCACAACTGTAATGAATTTCCACTGTCTTCCGCCCTCTGTTACAGAGTATGATATCATCCATTGTAAACAGCACTTACTATGCAAATGTCTCGGCTGCAAAGTGTCAAGAGTTTGGCCGGTGGTATAAACACTTCAAAAAGAACAAATGCTTCAACGGTGAGTCTGCACAGTGTCCACGATTCATTTAGTATTTAGTAAGTAATAAATGTTTTTTTAAACATAAGGAAAATGACATTAAGAGATTTGGTGCTGTTGATGTTAAATAATAGTTTAACAACACAGTTTGATAGTATTGATTGGCAGATGTAAAAGAAGTCAGTTATTATAAGATGTTCATTTTATATGAAGAGCAGGGAATTTCTAAAATGTCACAGCTTTCCTATAGTTCCCATTTGAATTAACCAAAAAATGCATTTGTCTCATTTACGAACACTAGTGTACTAAAAACAGAACCGTAAAAAATTAAAAATACTTTAAAAAGTGTTTTTATGAGACTTTTTGAAAAACTTAAAAAATAACTTTAACATACAATTTATACATCAGAGAATCTGTAGTTAATCAATCTTTAATATTCACATTTTTTGTCAAACAGCATTAGGCAAATTACACACGAGGCAAAGTTTTCCACTTTAAATGTATTGTCTATTGACATGTTTGAAAATTCCAAGTGAATTATAGTGTTCAAATGTAACATTTTGAGGGCTGTGGGTTTCTACATTGTTTACCTGTATCAAGACCCTTGTAGCTCAGGTTAGCTCGGGTGTTCCATGCTCACAGCAACATGTTTTGCATTGAGCTGATACCGTAGGCGTGAATAATTAATGGTCTTCACGACGAAGGAGGAGCATAAACAGAGTAATCAACATGTTTCAGGGGGCAAGAACTATATTAGGAATATTGTCAACATAGTCAGAGAGTTCCACATTGGCACAGGGCGCCGATAAAAAAACCTTAAATAAAAACTTTTTTGGGTTTTTGGGCTTTTTTTGGGGGGGGAGGGGGGGGGCGTGTCCTAAGTACCTGTTATACTAATTAAGGATTTAATTATTTGATATTTATTAATTAAATGGAGGTTGTTTTTTTGCATATCCTTAGGTTATGCTGTATCTGTCTTTCTGTTTCCTTCACTAGAGATTGACAGTTTCCCTGAACAGTCTGCACATGTCCCCCTCACCCAGCCGCCAATGCCCCGGGGAGGTGTAGCCAACATATGTGCCCTTCCACCGTGTGGTTTACGCCCTTCAGGGCTGGTGACCCAACCGCTCAGCTCCCAAATGGTCAACCAGCAGCTGGTCATGACACAGTTTCTCAACCAGCAGTATGCTGTCAGCCGCATGTTGGCTGGCCAGGGTCTGTCTCCATCGCCACAGTTCCTCAACCACCCTTCTGTGGTGAGAGCTCCTGCCAAGGTCTTCTCCAAAGTCACTGAGTCTCAAGCTCCACAGCAACCGCCGTGTGGCCTAAACGGAGGCCCCACGGCTGCACCTCAAACCCAGGCTCCACCGGGCTCTTCTTCAGGACAGTGCGATATTCCCAGTGACATCTACCAGTGTGTGAGGGAGGAACTGAAGAGAGCAGGCATCTCCCAGGCCATCTTTGCTCGGGTGGCTTTTAACAGGACTCAGGTGACCCGCTGTTTTATGGTTATTATCTGTTGGAGGTGTTTGGTGTTGCAACAGTGAAGTTAGCGTGCTGTGGGAATACGTTTGTTTGGTGGTTGGCACACTGGCACGGCCTTTGCCGCAGTGCACCCCCACCCTGATGCATGTGTGTGTGTGTGTGTTTGTTCGCCAGCTTTCTGCAGCACAAAAGCTGGTGCCAGCGATGAAGCAGCTGCTCGGCCAACTAATCACATCCCCTTGGAGAAATTCAGTCTCCCTCTCTACCTCGTCCTCCATCTCACTATCCCTCCATCTTGACACATTTCACTCTGGCAGCCTCTCCGTTCATTTAGAACCCACCTCTCATTGCCAGTCAATCTCTTTTCCTAATCTTTCCTCTCCTTATTCTGTATCCTTTATCTCCCTCCACCATCATAGCAATAAAACGCAACATTATCTTGGTCCATCATCTCACATTGAACATCGCACCCACAGAAAATGTGCTCGTAGGATGGGCTGAGCCCATTGTTATTTTTATTATTAATGTCATCAGTTATTATCCACCCCCATGTTTCTCTGTTGCCAAACCCAAGGTGCCAGGCGTACAAGCTGGGCTTGATGCCAAGATGCCATTTAGACGAGATGGGACCATTTATCATCTGGCGATGATAAAGCCTCCATCCATTTGGAAGGCAGAGTTTGCTGGATAAAGTCGAAGATGATCCAGCATTTGAATAAGAAGGACAGCGTGAAATCCACTTTCTATTCAGGACAGAAGCCATGCAATCTGCATGTGAAGTTTGAGGTCTTTATTGTGTAGATGGAAAATAACTGAACATTGTCAATGTTAATACCGCTACAAATGAGCAATGTGGGAAGAAGCGGTTGCCAACTGAGAAAAGAAAAACTTTTCTCCTTGTGTTTTAAAGTTGGGTTTTAAAGTTGATGGCACAGTCAGGGCCCTGAGACCTTATGACTAAAGTACAGCTTTACATTGAGTGTTGGTTTAGTAATAATAGGTGTTAAACCTGCCCACAACAAATTTAGCTTGTGCTTGGTCTTAACAGGGTTTGCTGTCAGAGATCCTGCGTAAGGAGGAAGACCCCAAACATGCCTCCCAGTCTCTGCTGGTAAACTTGCGCGCCATGTATGGTTTTTTGCAGCTACCTGAGGCAGAAAGGGAACGACTCTACCAGGTGGAGAAAGAGAGAAGTCTAACTGGTTTCACTCCTAGCTGCAGCAGCACACCACCAAGATCTACACAGGTCTGACAGCTCACAAGACAAAGAAAATATATTTTCAAATCTGCCCACACGTCTACTGTATGTTTGGTTTTACGTGATTTAGTTTATGTTTTTTTATTTATGTATATATTTAAAATATTGGTTATATGGATAGTAATAACAGAACAAGGGCTGCTTTGGTGAAAATAAAACTATTCTTCACTCTATGAAATTACTGTAGATTGCCTTATGAGGTGAAACTACACAGGGTCCTCAGTTTACAGTGGACAAACAAACATATACATTGGATTGTGTTGCATTTGCTGTCTTTGGTTTGTGTTGGGTTTTTTTTTTTTTATGGCTACTGTGTTTAATGCAGCTTGCTTTCGGGGTTAATTCTGACTCTCTGTCTTCCTGTCCTTCTTTGCTGTTTCAGGCCAGACTGTCACCAGTTACAGTAGACGGAGGTTTGAGAACAGACAGCTGTGTTCTCAATGTCAGCTCCTCCATCTATGAGGAGATCCAGCATGAGATGAAGAGAGCAAAAGTGTCACAGGCTCTGTTTGCAAAGGTGGCCGCCTCCAAGAGCCAGGTAGTGGTGTGAACATGTGTGAACGTGTAAATGTTCGTTATTAGGCACACTGATATTGTGTCTAATCACTCTGCCGCCTGATTGCTCAAAATTAGGGTCTGTGATGAGTCCATTTCCCCAGTTAAAGCAAAGATGGCTACTGTGTGTGGAGGGATGCCCAGATAATCAAGTAGCAGCTGTACTCTGCAGAGCACTATCGCACCATCACTCTGCTATTGTGTCCCAAATTATGGCTTTAATAGCTGCCATACACACATGTGCATATACAATTTTCTTTTTTTTTCTTTTTTTTTGCCCGCAGACATACTGTACGTGTGCAAATTACACAAACACACAGGCTCACAAATACATTAATGCACACAAGCGTGATTTGAGTGTTTATTGTTCTGATTTTTATGGCAGCTCCATAAGCTTGTTATTGCCTTTTGTTTTGGGATAATTTCCCTTTGGTGGAACAGAGGGGGATTTTAAATGTCTCATTTTCTACACTTCTAGAACAGCTACAATTTTTCAGTCATTTGTCTTTATCTTTCCGTCTTTCTTACTCCTCTGTCTTCATACACCACACCTTTTGGACTCTTGTCTCGATGTGTGGAGGTCATTTACCGTTCATGCCAGCAGAGACAGGTGGTCGAAAGCCCTGTGGTTATTTGTCTATCTCAACGCTGGCCTCGATTTTACCTTTTACTTTCATTTCACACATCTCCCTCCCTCTCTCTTTCACTCTCTCTTTCTTTCAGTTGTTTGGCAACCACAGCAATGCTGGATCTCACCCTTCTATCTGCAGTGTGCATCTGGATGGCATTGTGTGCCTGTTTTGGGCTGCAGCCATTTGTGCTTGCAGCTGTATGTGTGTGTTCATGTCTGTGAATGTGTGTCAGCCTTATTGCAAACGCAATCATACTCTGGTTCAAAAAGTAGTTTGGCTTCATGTTTTTCTCCAGTGGGTTGTGGAAATAAGTTTAGCAAATAAAAGAAAAGTTTTCCTTGATTCCATCACACGGCCATGACAGCATCTTCATAAATAGATTTGCTCAAACAGTATCTTTACTTTCTGCATAAATGTGACAAAAAGTTGAGTGTTACAATTTGGTTTTTGCATAAATTCAATTGTATTCACTCCAAGTGAATGCTACAAGTAGAACAATCAAATATGATTTGATGTTGGCTGGGAAATGTAGCTGAATTTTTGTCAAAAAAGAAAGGAGACTGATTTCAGTTGGCTAGGTCTGTGAATTTGAAGGTTGAAGTGGTTTGAAAATTTAGAGGGGAGATAATATATGTACAAGGAAAGGTGTTGGTATTAGAGAAGACCCCAGAGAATATCTATAGATGAATGAAGGCAAGAATTCATGTTTATAATGGTTGGTGCAACAGTAGAAGAGACAGGGAGTAGAGCTGGATGGGTGGGGTGGGCACGGCTGATCTCTTAAGAAGACTAAAAAGTAGAGGATCATCAGTAATCAGAGGAGCCTGTGACAGGCTGATATATGACATATATATTTATATTTGTTGTATTTATATTATACCTGTTACTATATTTATGTATATATACATATACGATATAGATTAATATATAAGAAGAGCTGTAAAACTGTAATACCGTAGAAATCCAATGATCATCATCATCATCAGTCTATTCTGTGGTATGTTCTTAGAATTTTAATAATAACGATACACATGACAACAATCTCTCCAATTTTTCATTTTTTTTTCTTTTTTGATGGTGCGTTGCTATTCTTGTCTTGTTCTACTTTTATTCTTGTATCTATTCCTGCATGTTTTTTTATGGTGCTGTACGGCTGCTGGAGCCTTCATTTCCCAAGGGAACTCCCCAGGGATTAATAAAATTCTATCTATCTTTCTATCTAGAAGAAAAGATGGAAATCATTCCGGGTAAAGTTACAAATATTAACATAATGGTCATTGAATAAAAAAAATATCACTGGAATTCGTAACAGAATAGTTTATGGCTGTTGACTGATCCCTGTCAACAGCCAGTCTACAGAACCATTGATCTGCTAAAGTTAGCTTAATATCACCAGCCTCTTTGTTAAGAAAGCATCACACCCATAAATATGCACCGACGAAGCATTCTGACCTGTGGGTAAAGAGAGAGGAGCGTCTCATCTTTCTCTTTACTCACTGGTTACTCGGTTCAGCCTCTGTGTTTCTGCTTCCTGCAGGGTTGGCTGTGTGAGCTGCTGCGTTGGAAGGAAGATCCCAACCCCGAGAACCGAACCCTGTGGGAAAACCTGTGCATGATCCGTCGTTTCCTCAGCCTGTCGCAAGCAGAGCGAGATTTTATCTATGAACAGCAGAGCAGCACCACGACGGCACAGCAGCAGTGTGCAGACAGACTCACACTGATCAGCAATGACAACACACTGGTGAGGCAACATAAGGAAGTAAATCATTGCACATTGAACTGTTTTGTGAGATAAAACAATATCCCAGTGTTATTAAAAGTTTTTTTAACTATAAAATTATACATAACTCTTTGTTTGAAATCAATGCGATATATTATTAAAAACTAATAATATAATAATGTTCATAAAAATGAGGTGAAATCACGTCACAGTCATGATGGTTGGATATTTGAGTTATCAGTGAGAAACCATCAACACCACATAGAGTATATTGTAGTTGATGAAGGAAACTAATATGTTTTTCAATTCCCATAGCTATCACGTTTGCTTGATGGCACCACATGACTACAGTACATGTCTGTTTATAAAAGACCCAGGCTGTTACATTACAAAACGCATATGGCAAATACCATGACTAGTGGACCTATTACAGACCTGAACAGATCTTGATGTTGAATGGCAGCTCACCTAACCCACATGTTTGTGTTTGATTTTAATCAAATACAAATGAGTTTATTGTATACAACGATTTTGTCCACATCCCACTCTATACAGTATCTACTGCAAATTCAAGGAGCTGCCTGCAGCTAATGAATATGAATCATTGTCAAATACCATCATATCATATTACCTGAGGTCAAATTCCGAACATTACTGCAGACGGTACTGCAACAATACTGCATTACTGCAGACGTGTTTTTAGAGGTTTGATAAGTAACAGAGCCAATGTTTGTAGTACGTTGTACTTTGGATTTTAAACTGTAAAAACAAGAAATTACTTCCATTAAATCTTTATGCCTCTTAAAGAAAAAAGGGAGAATGATATTTATATCAAGCTCAGGAAATGTGATACATACAAATACAAAATAACAGTACAATTCTTTTAGCTAAAGTCGACAACATTTACATTTACTCGGTTATCATTCAGCCCATCAGTGATGGAATGCCACAGTCATTAGATTTATTAGCTTATAATGACAGGAGTGTCTCTCCGATAAAACAGTACAAAAACTCATTTCTTGGCTCTCAGCTCCTAAATGTTATGACATTACTCCTCACAGCCCTAAATGTACCACAAATACACCCATGACATCTGCGATGCACAAATGAAACCATCAAATTCTAAACACCTCGTGCAACTTCTACTCTTATTGCTCTTTAATTTTTCTTTTTTCTCATCAGTACCAGCGTAACTCCCCTCTGCCACAACAAAACCACCTTCAACCCCACCAACCCCTGCAGCCAGAGGCCAGGCCTCACCTGTCGCCACTGCAGCCATGTGCCGCATCCCCAGCTGAGTCCGAGGTTGGGGGAAACTGGGGGAACCTGCGGGTGAGTTTACAGAGCAGGGGTGGTGGCAGTAATGACATGGTGGACAGTAAGGACTGGGCAGAGGGAAGGCGAGGAGATGGCAGCAGTCTGGGGGGAGACTGGGGTTGTTCTCAAACAATGTGGGATAAGGGCACAGAAGGCAAGGAGGAGGTAAGGGATGAAGATGTCAGTGAGGAAAGCATGTGTGAGATCACAAGAGGTATTGAAGAGGACAGGTTGAAGGAGAGTCTCTTTGTTAAATGGTCTAATGTGAAAAATGAAAGTCAAGAGGGTGGAGGGATCTGTTCTGAGGCAGGCAGTAATGAGGCTGGAGGTGATGAGGTTCAAGGCGAGGGGTTAAAAATGTCCTGCGAAGCCCTGGGAATCCTGCAGAGTTTCATACAGGATGTAGGTCTCAACCCAGACGAGGAGGCGGTCCACACCCTGTCAGCTCAGCTGGACCTGCCCAAACACATCATTCGCAGCTTCTTAAACAGCCAAGAAAATGGGCAGCCTCAAGAACAGGATCTGTATCTGCAACAGATCCCAAAATACAACCGAGGCCACCAGCTTGGTGGGACAGACACAGATCCCCAGCAGGCAAACAGATCTATCAAGAACCAGGAGCTGGAAAGGGAAAGCAATGGAACGATTGATGTGACTGGGAAATGTTCATCAACAGAACTGGACTCCAGCACTCAAACCATCACCCTGTTGAAAGAAGAGGAGGAAGAGAGCATCTTATAGTTAACTAAGACATAGAAAAGCTAATATAAACGTGTGAGCCATGCCCTGCTTGGAGCAAATCAGCCTCTGGTACGTACGGTAGCTAAGAGTCATTTTGTATTACTTGAAGTTAAAGTGAAACTCTGAACACACTCATGCACTAGAGACTTGAGAAAGTAACTGTGGCTATACTGTACATATTGATATTGTTACTCAACAACCACTTTGTGCAGTTGAATATGTTTAAAATATTAGGGAGCAGTAAATATGAGATCATGTATCACTGTTTAAAATAAGAAGTGTGTTTGGTTGGCTGATGTGTCTGTACCAGATTTGCCTTGTAGAGTGTGGCACTGCCAGTTTGCTGGAATCATCGTTGCCAGTGTGTTTTATATTTAATATACAAATTTTGTATCACGTCGTCATTGAAGTGTTCAATCGTTTCTTTGGTCTTTTACAAGGTTTTTGTCGATAGATCAGTCATCTGTGTATTCAGTTCACTGTGATTTCTTGTTCCACATGAATATTTTGAAAATCGTGCAAAACACTTGAATTCTACTGATCGTCGAAATAAATTGATATGAATTATTTTGCATCAGATTAAATGAGCCAATCAAAAAGGCCCTTTTTGGACAGCAGCGGTGTGCTCTGTCTAAACAACTCATTTATACCATCCAATCTGTGTTCACGACACATCAAAATATACAAAGTGTTTCTATGGATGCATGTATTTGTATGTCTCCAAAATATAGCTATTAATGTTTCATTTACAAATGTTGTTTTGCTTTATTTGTCACGCATAGAAAAGACAGACAAAGAAAAGACTGTGACTGATTTTCTCATTTTATGCTTCACACACGATATTTGCTGTGACTGAGTAAACAAAGACTGTGAATAGAATATTTAGGCCTGAGATTTAGCAGTGTGAGCACTGCGAGCCGCAAATACTACAACTACACTTCTACTAATAGTAATATAACAATAATAATTCCTAAAACCTAAATAAATATGTTCCTGCAAATAAAAACAAATGCAGTTTTTCCATTTGCTTTGGTTCAGTAGCTCATTTAAACTGACCACTGCGACAAGTGACAAGTGTGCATAATTTTTTGTGTGTGTTACTTCAATTTCTGAATGTCCTTCTGTTATTGTTTATCATTAAATACTGTCAGGTCCTGTACATTTAAATAATTCCTTTTACTGATTCATGATTAAGACTAAACTCTGTAGTTTGAATTCAGCATGTATACAGTACCAACAAACAGAATCACACCAAGAGGTTTACATTATGATGTGAACGCTTAACCCTTAATGTCTAGTAAACCTACAGTAATACTCAATCTGCATGTCTTTGGATTTTGAGAGCAATTCTATCAGGGTTATCTTTTGTGTTGGATATGTTCTCTCACTTATTTATAATGACAATACTCACAGACCTCTATCAACAGATGTACAAGTATAGGAGCCTTTTGTAAAGAGCCTATACACAGTGTTCTTCATACAGAGTCTGTTAGTATTGAAGAATACATACTGGTGATCACTCTCTTATATAACTATGCCTGTGTTGAATTGTACTCATTGTTTAGCCAAGATAGACAGTGTTCCTCTGTGTAGACCACTGGGTCTTGGCTGTACCAGTTGATCTGTCTCCCTACGATCACACGTCTCTCAGAGCAGCCTTTTCTACCTTGCTCCTGTTTTCTGTTTTCCTCTTTTTAATGTGTTTCTCACAGCTGCTCTTTCTGCCCCCGACTCTCATCTGCCTTCCTCGGTACACCACACATTGCTCCATATTCTCCTCAGACGCTGCAACATTCAAGCTCCATTTGGTCAGAATGGCTTTATGGAGTAATTCAATAAAACACTGCTCTTTTCTGTCATCTGTTTCCATGACAATATCTTAGTTAGGGCCGACGAGAGGCCATGAACACCTCATCATCAGTAATATTAGCCATAATAATGATGATAATGGCGCTCTTTAAATGCCATGCCTGTGATGATGATGCAACAGTAATGACGATAATCATCATTACGACTGCTTTGAGTTAACGTTCACAACCACACAGCCCGAGCAACACACTCCCGGTGCACAAATTTGACTCATTAATGCTATTTAATGTCACCACTGGATATTATATTTTCATTCGGACTCATGCCCCATTCCATTATCCCTGTCCTGCTGTCTGGGTTTAGATTGTGGATTAGATGTTGTTTTTATTTTTCTCTTTCTCTTCATGTTTTTGTCTGTGAAGCACTTTGTGAAGGTGTGGGTTAAAAGCACTCAGATAAACTTGACTTGTCTGACCTCCAAAATTGCTGCAATTAAGGCTCCATAAAATGGTCTTAATTAACCCTCGTGTTGAAGCACTTCTTCAGCGTTCTTGTTTATCTATGATGTGTTTTATTTCTCCTTGGTGGTGAGGCTCATCACAACAGCGTGCTAACATGCAGTTACAATTGTTTTAGTTTTTTTGTTTTTCCCCACATTCTGGTCTTTCTATAAACATTTTTAATAACTTAACATTATCTGCTTTATCATAAAGAAATCAATTCAGTAGCAGTCAGGTATAATGGAATACATTTTCTCATTCTTTTTACTATTTGGTGGTTTGATAACATAATCAGAATATTATGGCTTGTTTTTCAACTTTAAGTGGTGGGATCTGCAACTTTGGAACTTTGGAAATGAATATGTACAAGTAGTGCCTTGTTTATTGTTTGCAGCGCATTTGATATCCATACTGGTTTCAAAAAATCACAACGATAACCTGATGATGCAGCACAAAAGGCAGTTGGAACCACTGTGAATAAACCAGGTGATTAGGAAAGAATACATCACGAATCAATCCCTTAATTTGAAACTTGTATAAGCAGTATGATAACACGTTTCAAAACTTTATTCTGGAGTTTTTTTATATATCCTTTGTAAGAATTGTTTGTCCTAAAGTGGGTGAAATAATTGCTGGCATATAAACTATCTTTAGGAGTTGTCAGAATGAATAACTTGTATTAATAAAATGTGTTTGTAAAAGCTGAGAACCATAATTCTAAAGACGTCTAAAATGTTTACTCTAAAGATACATTCAGATTCCCTAAAAGGTCAAAACACCTTGTGTTTATCAAGTGCAGAGCTGCTACCTGCAGACACGTGATCAGTCAGCTGGTCCTCAGCACATCCGCCTGACCCGCTACTGTTTACGAATGAGTCGAGTCCGGTGCGGCAGAATGAAGAGTCCCGCATGAACACGACAGGTACCAGACTCACACTGCCGTTTACAGTACTTTAAAGAGGTTAGTGCACGGCGAATGTCACGGCTACGTCCAGCTGCGGGACAATATTTGTCTTGTGCTTTCCAAACGCAGCTGCCCGTATATCGGAAGTAACGCCAGGCCCGTCCGTAGCCTCGGTTGCAGCATTGCTAACTTGAATTAAGTTAGCAATGCTGCTGGGTAACTTTTAGTTTTGGTTGCTAAAGTTCTAGTCGGTTTATGTTGACACCAGTGATATGTTACAGTAAGGTTATTTCCTTAGTTTTGACTTATGGAATGCAATGTTTGATCCACACGGGACACCATACATTAGCATAGCAACTTGGTGTTTTGCTCCGTTCTCATCGATAACCCAGCTTTGTCTGTCATAGATGTTGCAGTATTCTCAGCAATGGCAGTGGTTTATTATGTGAAGCTGCATTGGAGAACATTCAACGTCACCATAGGTTTTGTTCAGTTTGACTGTTACCCGCTGATAAACGTATCGTTTGATTTAGCGTGTGGTGATAGTGACGGAATCATGGACCGTGTGTGGACTAGCCATTAGCACAAGTGAAGCCCCGGAAGCCAACCGGAAGATGCTACATTATTACTATTATTAAAGGCAGCTGTTGCGTTTAGGCAAATTACTTAAAAGGTGAGTAAATATTTTTGTTAATTGTTTTTATTTAGTCTACGTTCCGTGGTTCTTCCACTTTTACACATAAGTATGACTATGTACACAGTTAGGCATCAATAAATGACTGTTAAATACAGTGCCTAATGTTTGTCAAACCATTTTAGTTGCTTTGAATGTGTATTGTTGCAGGCCAATCATTTAATGTAAGTACAAACATTGTTGATTTTCCTCTGCGTTAAAGTTGGTTACATTATATTTGTCACATTTTAGCAATTCTGCATAAATGCAATGTATAATGTATAATGCACCCCAGGTGTTTGGTGCTGTTCTTGACATAAAAAACATTTAAACACAAGGAAAAAAATAATTGTGAATTGGATGTTTTGCAATTGGAAGTACAATTATTTTAGAAATTAAAAATAAAGACTTAATACCTGAATTGTAAGTGAGGCTGGACACTTTGCAAGGAAATATTTACTTGATATTTTGGAGCTGAGAAGAAGCTTTATTTTTAGCTTCTTTTTTTCATAACAATTAAACTTATTTTCTTTTCAATATTCAGTATTTTCAAGTAATGCCACACCTAATTGGTTACATTCAAATACTACACACACTATGTATAGTATTTGACACACTATGTATGTTTCCACACAATTTTCAACACTGCTTTACATAAGCTCTGTGTGCTGGCGGTGTACAGGCTTTAACTGTCTTTAAACCACAGGAGGGCTAGGGGTGAGTACAGTATAAAAAAAAGACTAAAATGGCTGAAAACAAACAGGCTCTCCTTTTCTGCTCTTCAGATTCAGCCTCCTGGGCTGTATGTTGGTGTGATGGACATTGCATTACCTGCTTTTGAAGATAAACAATATTTGCCATTTACAACTATCAATGTAACATGCCAGTTGTGAAAGGTAGTACTTTTATTGCAATGAATGAGTTAGAGGAAGTAAGTTGTAGGTCAGAGGTATGGTCAGTTTAAATGAAGTTGTGAAACTTGCTGAATGTGTGACAACGTTTTTATTGGTTTTGTTTTTATTCTGATACTTCTTTGCCACAACAGCTCCCCTTCACCCCTTTATATTACTATACAGGCCTCGATTAAGTGCTGTAGTTCCTGATCTACTTATTATACACCCCTGGTCTCAGAGAATCAGACCAGACCCTGCAACTTAAGTGTTTTCCACGGTCAAAGTCTTAGATGTGAGCTCTCCGCCTGTTGAGCATGTGATTCTAAATGCTGCTGGTTTCCCACTGTGTGCTGAAGTAGAGACATGTGAGTTTGTTTAGCTGGGCTGTTTCACTTTGACTAAATGGCAATCGGCAGCTGAGTCTGGATCTGGAAGTGATGGCTCCTCTCATCTCCGGCTTACTGGATCCTTTATGAATATTTATCCTCATGAGAATGTGTGCTGTCTCTATTATGTTCTGGGAATTCTTGTTCTTGTTAATGGCCAGACTTTTTCTTACAGTCTGGCCATTTGGATAACTGATTTGTTTTTTAAATGGTCTAATGCTAAAGTGAATGGTGGTGGCTGCATTCTGTTAGTAATTTTTAAGAATACATTCCTAGGTGAACATATTATTTACGATTACAGTAAAAATAAATTTAAAAATTAAGCTACATTAGTTAGTGTGTCGTCTCAGAAAGTTTTCATCGTTAATTTCTCTTTATTTCTATGCTTGCTGAGCTTTTGCCTCAAAATTATGCTGAACAAAACTGTTGTATTCTTTTAAAAAACTGAAATATTACAAATAACTGCAATTACTGGACATCTCAGTTGCCCGTGGCCCCCACGATGGGAATCGCAGACCTAATTATGTTCAGTGTTCAGATCAAACACTAGATGAACATTTAATGCCAATATAGAATTACCTGCCACTTGGCTTTAAGAGGATATACAGGAAGATGTTGAGATTTGGATTTCATAAATATCAGGCTAATGCAGTGCAACACATAGACGAGACATTTACTGAAGTAACACTAAGCTCTTATATACAGTTTTAAAATTTACTCCAGGAAGATGGAGGTAAACTGCTTCCCAAACACAGACTGTAGCAGCGTATTTATTGAGTGTGTTGAATTAAAGGGAAGTCTGTGTCTGCAGTATTTAAACTACTGTTACTTATCACAGTTCTTCCTGTGTGTAGCTTCCATTAGCACTTCTCTGTCTTGGGTTGATGTTTTCTTGTGAATGCAAAATCTTCCATTCAAAGAGGCTTTTACCTCTTTGCATTGTTTTTATTTGATTTTGTTGTGTGAGACCTACTCATATAACCACTGACCATGTGTTTTTAAGGAGGTTTCTACATTATTTGTTTGATTAACTTCAAAATGAAAAATTATTGAGGAGAGTCTATGTGTGATGGTATATTTTGGGATTTAGCTTTTGCTTGGTATATTTAAATCCCAGGAACAGATCTTCAACTTCAGAACAGATGGCCGACGTGTTATTTGTCTGCTGATTTATTTATGCATTTCATTATGTATTGATTTGATTATTTCATGAAAGATTCGTGATTTGAATTATTGAGCCGTCTCCAGGTGCTGCGCAGTAAATTATGCACAAACTAATTTGCCTTCATTATTATGTGATGCACTATAGTTAGGGTGTCATTCCATGTTCAAGAAGTAATGCAGAGGCAGCCCAGGGCCAAGAGAAGAGTTTGCTACAGGCTGGATTTACAGGCGTTGTATGATCTATCTTTATGTTTTGTCTTTAAAGACACATTTAAAGGTGTACATTCACACAAGAGTATACATCACCTACTCAAACTAAGTCATGGTTAAAGTCCTCCTCAGAAAGTTTACAGTGACATTTTATTGGTGCACAAAAGTAGGATCTTCCTATAAAGGCCTCAGGGGGGAAATGTATTTCTATGAACTGTCACTGTCTGTAATTTAACAGACAACCTACTTTGTTGTTTGTGTTTGTTTACAAGTCCTTGGTTATAAAATATTGTCTCTATTTTAGTTGTAAACTAAACTGTAAACCCCCCTGTGTTCCAGATTAGTTCTGGTACTGTAATGGTAATATTTTAAATGAGGGAAAGGACAAAAACCTCATTGACTCAAGGAGGGCATTAGTCTTGGAGGAGAACAGATGTTTCCTAAAAAAACACAAACACATACATTATGCATGTGAAATCATTGCTATTTTGAAGGCATGTGCAGATGATTTATTAAGTAGTGATGCATTCACACAGTCAATAGGTTTAAGAGACGTCTTTGTTGTGTTTTTTTTTCTGTTCATAAGCTTTGCTCTGTAGGCCCGTGTATTAGACAAAACATATTCATAAATATAGGACTAATCCCAAGATGGATGAAGAACAGAGAGAACGAGTTAACACAAACAGTCTCAAAGGAAATCAAACTTTCCAAAGATCTGGGATTGTTGGCAATTTGCAGAAAACTTTTGGTTTTATCTGGTGACGTTTCCTCGTTCGTGCACCACATTTTGGGTTTTGGCCATTGGAAGTTTCATAATTGACAGCCCCTAAATATTTCTTTCATATATGTCAATATGTTCTATGTAATTAAATATTTATCTATTTTATTAATATTTTTCTAGAAGAGCTAGTCAAAGAGGTTTGGTTTTCCACTCTCCTTTAGATGGTTAACTCGCTGATTTGACTATTGACGTTTTATTTTTGTTTTTTTTTTCACAATTTCAGACACACATTGGTTTGGTTTGTGTGGTGTGACGACAAGTCTGTTGACATCAGAATATTTCATTAACTAATTTGCCTACTTAATGAGCACATTAGCATTACTGCTCTGGTTTAATATATCACAGCGAGCGTGCTGGAGCATCAGGCAGCTCAAGTGCTTCTTGTTAATTTAGGCCATTATTCACTGACTGTATTCAATGTCTGTGTTTTAATTGATGCTCTGAAGTTCTGTTCACTGCAGAACCAGAGGAAGTGGGATGCTAGCACGTTGTGGAAAGTCCTTTTTTCTGTTATTTAGTCTTTTATTAATTAGCCTGTTTTGCCAACACTTAGATATTCAAATTCAGAAGATCAAAAATGTGTTTTTATTTGAAACATTACAAATAAATCAAAAATAAAGGGTTCACAGTCATCCTGTGGCTACTTTATTATACATCCAACAGGCTTTTTTGCTTCAAAAGTCTGAACATCGTGTAAGACACCTGTTCTTTCCTCTAATATTTGTACTTTTTATGTTGATTCTGTCTTTTGCAGATTCTCTTTTGCATTGGCTTTGAAGAATCACCAGGCTGTGACAGTAAGACCTTAGGTTTTTTTCTTCTGATGGAAAGCTGTGCTGTTTAAACAGAAAAGGTCAGAGGTTCATAAAGAATGGAATTCTTTTTCAAGAAGATGTAGAAAGTAAATGTCTGATAGCGAAAAGTCAGCTTTAAGTAAAGGTCAAAGTTTTCTTATCTGTCCAGTCAGTTGAAATGCACGTGCTCACAACGTCAAAATTCAGGAAAATGATGACATTATATTCTGCAGTTAAGTTGATGCCTTGATTAGTCATCTATTTTGTTTTACTAATCTTTCAAATAATTGCTGATTCATTTACTTTCTTATTTAATTTTTATTTGTTTTTTTGCTCTTCTTCAGGTCCGGCTGCGTCGTGGCCATGCAGCATCCCAATTTTGAGACTCGTCACCCACTCCAGACAGACGAGCAGGAGACGGGGTTCGACCCACTGCAAAATTTCAACAAGAACCGCAGCAGTATGTCACATGATTTAACACAGTGATCTTTACACATCTTATCTTTACTGCAGAAGAGTTATTGAGGCTAAAGAAAAACTCATAGGCTTACGGTCAACATAAATCAATTTGCTACATACTCTGGGTCAGCAGGTCCTTCTTCCACAGCCTCTGATGATTGACCCAAAAGATTTACCTGAAAAAGACTGGGCTGAAAGTCTATTCCACAACTCGCTGTGAAGATTAAGGAGACTAATCATTTTTTTAATTTAATGTATTTTTTTTCTTTATGCCAAGGTAAATTATGTTGGTTAGAACAATAAATAAATAATTGCTTGTAAGTAAAAGAAAAACAGAAGCTAATACTTTTGTCTTGTAGAAGGAGACAGCAATTATTTCCAGGAGTAAGTTAGCGATATCACAGGTGATCCCCTCGGGCTAATGTGTTTTTATGTTTACGCATGAGAAGAAAAATAGGGTTTGGGGGGGTGACATGTAGTGAAGTGATGAATATTCATACTACGGGTCCCTGTGGAATGATCTCCTCCTGTAACTAATGTTGATAGGCAGCTCTCTGACTTAAATGTGTGTTCACCTGCAGGCCAAATTAGACTTATTACTGCTATTAAAGACAAAGACAATTGCTTTTTTCCATCACTCTTCCTGCTTCTGGCTCTTAAGTGTCTCCTCCATGATGAAAAAAAAATTAAAAGATGGCTCATTAGAACGCAGCTACCAGGTTAATGCTTTTACTTAGGTTGTCCTGGGTTATTGTTTGTATGTAGTGGTGTGTTTTAATGCATCCCTCCTGCTGGACTTCTTGTGAACACCACCCCCTTGTGGTTATGTTTGTGTGTGTGTGTTTTAACAGGAGGTTCTCTTGACAGCAGCACTTACTCACAGTCTCAGTCAACCTTCCTGTCGTACCGGTGAGTGTTTCCAGTGTTTTCATGTGTGAGCGCACCACAAACTCTTGGCCCATCTCTGAGCCCAGCCTCCTGTTTTAGTGCTGGGTGACACAGTAGATTGAATACCTTGCCCAATTTGGTCTGAGAAGCTCATAAATCTTTCGGCTCCTCTGCTTCTTCTCCTCTGAGCAGGAAAGAATGGGACGACTTGTTCCTCAACAGTAATTATCTGGCCAGGATCCGGCAGTCGGGCATCAACGGACGACTGAGGAGCAGCCGCTTTCGGAGTGTGTGCTGGAAGGTAACCGCCAAACAGATCAGGCAGTGCTCTCCAGTTTGATGGAGGCGCCTTTGCCAAGTTCTGTGCTCCAGCAAAAGAAAAGGCAGCATTCCTGGGTGTTTGTAGAGATTGTGGTGAAGACATGTTGTAGCACAGAGATGCGTTTGTGCCTTTAAAATGTATAAATGCTGCGTTGACATGAAATCACATTTGTTTTCTGCAGTTGTACCTGGAGGTTCTTCCTGAAGACAAAGCACAGTGGATTAAGAAGACAAAGGAGTCCAGGGCTCAGTATGAGAAGATCAAAGAGATGGTAAGAGCGCCCCTGTGTGGCCAACTGGTATATATGATGTATGATGACATTTTTTTTGTTTTTAACTTTAGTTGACTGTGGTGTATAAAATCCTCCGTTATTCCACCAAGTTGTTTGTCATTACAGTTACGTATGCAGCTTTAATGATCTATGGTGTAATAAAAGACAGAAAATTGTGTGTTTTTGTCTTTTAGCACATTACTAACCCCCGAAACGCTGCAGGCCAGCAGGACCTGGTGGTCAACAACCCACTGTCCCAGGATGAGGGTGTAAGTTGTGCCTGTGCATGTGATGACTGGTTGCTGGAAGTACTTGTGTTGAACTTCATGAGAGAAATGTCATTTTGATAAAATGTTTTTTTCTTATTGTCCAAGGTTGTATTTTACGAGAGTGTTCTATTATATATTCTTTTACAGATGACTTAGCAAGCTTCCAGAGTGGTAATCAAAAATAAAGGGAAAAGGCAAAAAAAAAATTGACTCTCTCATTCATGTTTCTCACGTGTCTAGAGCCTGTGGAATAAGTTTTTCCAGGACAAAGAGCTGAAGAGCATGGTCAAACAAGATGTGTTGAGAACGTCAGTATCATAATATCTCTCTTGACTTAGTTATGTTAGCATATTATATCAGCTTGACCTAAACCAATACACTTTTTTTTTTACTTATAGGTTTCCTGAGATACGTTACTTCCAGGATGAAGACGTGAGGACTAAGCTGACGGATATCCTCTTCTGTTATGCCAGAGAAAATGAACAGTTACTGTATAAACAGGTATGAAGACAGATGTTATCCCGGGACAATGGACATAGATCAGACCCTGCTGTTGATGATAGTTTGTGTCTCTGTGTGTATTTGTTTCTCCTGGTTGTCAATGAGCTCAGTCATGTCTCTCTCACCTGATCATTTTCAGTGTCTGTAACATGTGCCAGCCCCTTGAATAGTCAGGAAGTCCTGCATCTTTTTAAACAAACTGGAAGTGACATATGACCAGGCAGCGACTAACAGTATCTGAATTAAATCTGTCATCATGGATTATAAACCTCGTGCATCACGATTAAAGGAGGACTGACCGTCAAATGAACCGAATTCTCTCTCTCTCCCTTGTCCTCTCGCACCCTGGACCTCTTTTCTCCTATCCATTTTCAGGGGATGCACGAGTTGCTGGCTCCCATCGTGTTTGTTCTTCACTGTGATCATCAAGCCTTCCAGCACGCTAGTGAGACAGCCAGCCCCAGGTCAGTGTCCCACAGCTTGGAAACTCATGATTGTTATGATCTCACAAGAGGATGACAGTCATTTACACTTGAATCAATATGCACTGATTCATTAATCATGGGGTGAATGAAATGTATTTCTATGACCGTCTGTCTCTGCTTTTCTTTGAAACACAAAAACTTTCTCTATGTAAAATGCTATAAAAGCCTTTCAACTAACTCTGATTCAAATTTAGCAGAGTAAACAAATTTTAATATAGTCGACTAAAACAGAACTCAAATTGAAACAGTTCTATTGACTGAATTGAGATAAAGACCAAGTTACAATTACAACAACAGGAGACTGAATCCTAAAGGACTGACAAAAAATATATAACCCAAAATTAAATTATAATTTCTCTCAAAAAATTATGCTATTGTTGACCTTAAATCTATCAAAGAGCATCACTGATTATACTGTTTATGTTTATTTAACATTTTCAAGGGTGCATAAGTTGTCCAAGCACTGTTTGATTTTAATTTTGAAAAAAATATCATTTGTTTGTTGCCATTTAAAATAACAGGTTCAACACCATCCCAAAGGTCAGACCTTCCTGAGCTTTAATTTGTTTCCACTCCAGTCAGTATTGCAATGTTTTGTTTTGGGGGTTTTTTCTTTGAGAAAAGTCAATCTAAATTTATCATGTTTTCTCTACAGTGAGGAAATGAAGTGTCTTTTGAACCCAGCCTACCTTGAGCATGATGCCTAGTGAGTATTGCACCAATAATAGGACAAATAATTACTAAGGTTATGAAGTGTGTTTTTGGAATGTTTCATGTTACTTTTCCTTGGCGTGTTCACATGTTGGTTACCCTTTTTTTTCCATCCTTGCCTCACTTTCCACTCAATCCTGCTCCTGTGTCTTCAGTGCCATGTTCTCACATCTGATGGACACAGCAGAACCGTGGTTCTCCAGCTTTGAGAGGGAAGTGAGGAAGGTCAGTGCGATCGGACAATCAGTGGCTTTTGTTTGTGAAATTAATTTTTTGTCCCAAATAGTCAATATCAGCTGATTGTGTTTTTGCAGAAACAGTATTTTGATGTTTTAAAACTTGCGTGGTTACCACAGTAACAACACATCTAGTTTTGGCAATTTGGCAAATGCTGAAACTTGATTCACACGCAGAATGTGTCTTGGAACAAAATATGAGAAAAGCCTTGTGGCTTTGCTGCAGTCTGTTTCCCTCAGCAGTGATTAAATTGGAGCATCTGTCAGAACATACTGACAGCAAATGAGTTTTGGTGACGCTGCTCGGCTTTAAAATGGCTTCTGTGATTGGTGTTTACATTGTTGGAATTCTTCTGAAGAATGATGTCAATTGTCTATCAAAAAAATTAGGATACAATGTTTTTTAATGTTTATAACTTGGATTTTTGAGACACCTAAACCTCATATCTGGTTGTGTAGAACATAAAATGAGTGTTTTTGGTCATTTTTGAGAAACTGTTATTTTCGGAGATTTCTTCAGGTTGGTATAGTATTTTACTGTGACCAATGGTAGAAGAAATATATATATATATATATATATTACTCACAAAAACTTCTGAATATTTATTCACAAAGTAAAGCAAAGTAGTACATTTTTTATTCATTATTGAAATTTTTTTATTAAGTTTAAGAACTAAGATTGCTGCATGTTAATCACATATTCTCGTTTTCCATTAGGGTAAGGAAGAGATGCTGACCAGTATCCCATTTGCTCGGCCCCAGGACTCAGGGCCATCTGTTGCTATAGTGACCAAAGTCAACCGGATACAGGATCAACTAGTGAAGAAGCACGACGTTGAGCTGCACATGCACCTCAACAGGCTGGAGATTGCCCCTCAAATCTACGGCATGTCAGTATCTAGAGTATCTTACCTTCCTAATTTACTTAAACCTTGACGCTGGAAACAAATAAGTTCTACTCTTGTGTCCCATAGCCGGTGGGTTCGTCTGCTGTTTGGTCGTGAGTTTCCACTTCAGGACCTGTTAGTGGTGTGGGATGCCCTGTTTGCTGATAGCATCACCCTAGACCTTGTGGACTACGTCTTTGTGGCCATGCTACTCTACATTCGAGATGCTCGTATGCTACACTTGTTACTAAGAGAAGTCTATAAAACCTGGTGATATAAAGCTTTCTTATATATAAAGTTTCTTCTGAATACAGGAAATACAGCACTGTTTTACTAAAATTAAAGCATTTGGTAAATTTTTTTTTCTTTTTTTTTTTTTTTTAGTATGTCTACACTTTTAACATGTTAAATACTTTCTTCTAGTACTTCTAGTAAATCTAGTACTGATCTGTGTGAGTTTAAAAGAAAAACACTACTGGACATGGACCAATCTAATGAGTTGTTTCGATTGGATAATTTGGGTTCTCAACTATAGTTGTTGGAAGGACCAAAGTTCGGGGGACAGACACCTGGGGGCCTCAAATAAAATGAAATACAATTTCCTGATGCGTTTTCAGTAGTTCAAATTGTTGGGAACACTCTTTACAGCACACTTGACACAATCTGATTTAAAACACTGTTTTTTTTTCATCTAATTGTTCTTTCTTATATGGTTTCCCTTTCACAGTCATTGCTAGTAACTTCCAGACCTGCCTGGGCCTGTTAATGCACTACCCTCCAATAGGGGACATAAACGCTTTACTACAAAAGGCTCTGTTCCTCCGAGATCCTAAAGTAAGTGGTGTCAATAATCGAATTGATTTTAAAAATTGGTGCAGTTTTGAGTTTGTTTAAACATTTATCTCCTATGTTTGTTTGAGAAAATATTTGACATTTTCCAATGCATTGAGCGTGGTACTGACTAAAATGTTACTGCAATAAGTGCTGCAACTTTACAGAAAAAAAGGGAAGTGGAAATTTCAGTAGATGTTTCAGTTCCTAAACTCAGTAGTTCACAGGCATTTATTGTTGATACATAAAAACAAGAAGTCTGAGGCTTCATTCTGAGTCTGAAACTATATTTAGCTTGAGTCAGGGCTGTCAAATAATTAAAATCTTTAGTCTGATTAATCACAGAGAAGCTGTGGATTTATCATGATTAATGTCTATTATTTAAAATTGTAATTAATCACACTTAAACGTCATCAATTGTGATAAATCAACATTTCTAAATATAACTCAACGGGTTTTTTTTCTGTGTACTTCTCAAATAGATGAATAACAGCAGGTAGATGTACATATACATTTGTTTGACTACTCCAAATGATGATATTATTAGTATGATAAAATGTCATGAAACATACAAAAGTATAACTCAAAACAGTACATGTCTTTATCTAAAGCCACGAGCAGTTAGTAAAAAATGGCAGAGTTTCTTCCAGGTGACTGATGATGTCACACCTTGTCCTTATCAGACTTATTCCTGGAGGGTGTTCTTCATGACCGTTGACTCAGACAGGAAGAAGCTCTCTACCAGTGACAGAGAGTTTAGATGTAATGATGCTAACCCAAATGTTTTCTCTTTGATTAATGTAACAGAACAACCCCCGACCCGTCAACTACCAGTTCCAACAAAATCTGGACTATTACAAAACAAGGGGAGCTGACCTGATGAACAAGTCACGGTAAAGTACACACACAAGCACACACTTTAATGGACCGTAATTGGTCCATGCCTGGTCTAGACTAACTTATATTTATATTTTATATTTTACTCATAACATGACCTTCAACAAAATTTAGCATAAGTGTAATGTACTTAATAATTAATTCATAAAACAACTATTAGTACGACGCATAATCTTTCTGTTGATTGTGTTATAAATTAAAATGAACCAAATGTTTTTTTTATTTCCCACCAGCTCTAATTCAAAGAATGCCCCCCTCAATATCAACAAGGTCTCCAGCAGCTTGCTGAGCTTCGGCAGGAAGCTCATCTCTCCGGCCATGTTGGGAAGTTCGGGAGTAATCTCACCCATCAACAGTGAGGTACACTCCTCCTCCTCCTCCTCCTCATCTACTTCACCCGCCTCTGCTGCTGCGCCTGTCATACCTCACCCACTGGCCGAGCCGCCGTCGGGACACACCCCGGTGCAGACCCAGAGCCACGCCCAGAATCAGCACTATCGCCTGCTCAAGTCTGAAAGCATGCCTGTGCATCTCAGTAAAGGTGAGTGACAGTTAGACAGTGATTCAAAGGAATGTTCCAGTCTCATTCACTAATTCACTCAGTTCCTTTTACATTTTTATAGTTTGTTAATTAACGACATGCAGTTAAATGACATTCAAACTGTCAGGTTTCTCTGCAGTTTTCAGCTGTAGCTGTACATGTGACAAACTCTCGAATCTTAAATAATCTGAATACACAGGAATAGAATGAGTCAATATTTATTGATGATCTCAGTTTAACTGCTCTGTTGAGTTCTATTTCCACATCACTTCCATTCTATTGTAAGGATAGAGAGCACCTCTCCATCAAAGTGAGCCTCTCCCCTTCTCTTGACTTGTTTTATTGACACCATCACATTGTCATCTGCACAACAGTATGTGGAGACGGGAGGAGCAATAAATAAACCAGCCTTACACAGAGATTTACTGCGCCCTTGCTTCGCACTGTCATTTCAGATAATGCGGCATCGTATATATAATGTTGAGCAACTGTTTGTCACTGGCGTCGTCAAAAAGCAGCATATTGCTTTTTCCTGTCCTCCTATAGAGAACGTGTGCGTATAACACGATGGAAAAAAGCAATAAAAGTCTATCTGAAAGTCTGCTTTTAAATGCAACTTATGAAAAACTGTTGACATCCTACTTTTATTTTCCTTTTCTATAATGTCAGTGTGTAGTTTCACTCCAAACAAAAACCCAATTTTAAATGTTAACTCTCGATTTGCAACACATTCCAAACAAACAGTTTTTTCCCCCTTGCACCTGTCATGCAGGAGGTTCAAAAGTATGATTCCACCTAGTTGGTAATTTCTGGTTGGGTGTTATTAAGGTGTACACAAAATTAATAAATATATATACACACACAAATAAAAAAGATCTGATCCGTTTCAGTTTCAGCTTTGACTCTGCATTGTCTTAGATGTAGTTTCAGGTGGAGTTTCTCAGGTCTCCCACCAAGGCCAGACCCGCAATGACACACAAGGTAACCGCTGCCATGGCAACTGCTTGTGATTAACACAACCACACAGCCTCCCTTACATCTGTCAGTGTCCCCTGGTGTTGCATGTTTCCACCCAGAGATTGTCCTTCCATTTCTCCTTTCCGCTGGCCTTGCTGTCACTGAGGCTCATAAGCACACAAAATATTCTATTTCATAAATATTGTACGTGAGCGAAAATGAATGCCTGCTCTGTAGTGTTGTTTGACAATATGGCCAGCAGGGGGAGACAATGGCTCACTGTATTAGTGCAAAAGAATCCAAACAATGTTGAATTTTGTGTTGATTTTGTTTGTTGCTGTTCAGTGACTGCTGTTGATTGATTGTTCTGTGCTCCATAGTAAAATTCAATAATACCTTAAAATAAAGACTGATGGTTAGGATATAAACTTTTTTTTAAAAGTGGAAAACACTTTCACTAACTCTGATGAAACGCAGTAGTTCTAGAAAATAAAAGCCACTTCCCTTTTTTTACGTTTCATACATTTTACTTGCAGATCTGTGCTTTTTAGAGACTGTTGAGTCTGTTGTGAACCAAAGGCTTCATATCCATTGGTTTATACATTTTGTTTCAGTTCTCTTGATGTTCTGCCTTCTGTCCCTCTCTCTCTCTCTCAGGACAAAACCCCCAGATGGTCAGCTCCTCTCCCAGCATAGAAAGTCTCTCAGGAGGGCGGGGCCACTCCACTGCCTCCCCGCCCCTGCATCTGCCCAGAGGCAGTGATGTCAGCACTTCCTCGCCCCCTCTGTCTGCCAACAAGAAGGACTGCTTCTTCAACATCACACGCTCTCGCTCCCTGAGCAAGACCATGGGAAAGAGGGAGACGGTGAGTTGTCGCCACAGCAGACCCTCCTCCCCCACCTGCAATCCCACTTTCTGAACTTCGGCTCCTCGGTTCCCTATTGAATCTGTCACATAAAGGTATGTGTTTATCCACAGGAGGAAGACCTGGAGGCCCAGGTGTCTTTTCTGCAGGGTCAGATTAACGACCTGGAGGCCATGAGCAAATACTGTGCCAAGATGATGAACACACACATCTGTGAGTGACAGTTTAGTTTCCCTTCAGGTTTCAGTTTTATGGAAGCGATCACGGGTTTACTAAAGTGTTATAAAGTGTTGCAACATTGATCATTGATATATTGGGGATGTCAGCACATTTGCTTCAGTTCAGAATGTGCAAGATGCACTTTCCTTACTGAATTGTTGTGTGGATGAGGGTGTAGCTTCACAGTTGGCATCTTTTAATAATCTCACAGGTAAAATCCAGGATGTCATTCTTGAAGAACACCTGCAGAAAGAAGATGAGGTTCTGGTGTCATTAGCTGGACTCAAGCAGGTTAGTACCATGTGTGTTATTAAAATAGAATATATGCTAGCTTTTTTAACTTGTAACTCTGTAGATGATTGAAACGTGGGGTCTTAAGCCTGATGATGCTTTCTCCAGGTTGAGGTAGTCGTGGCTTCCTTCACTTCTTTTTCAATCCATTTGTCTTCTCTGGCAAGGACATGTACATTTCCATTCTCAAAAAGATTGTCTTTGTCCCTGAGATGCAGGGTCTTTTGTATCTGTAGTATATACTGTCAATACAGCTTCTGTGTTTGTCTCATCGCATAAGATTAAGGACATCCTGAAGGGGGAGCTGCGCTTTAACCAAAGCCAGCTGGAGGCGGAGGAGAACGAGGAACTTACCATAGCTGACGATCACTACACTTTGACCGCCGCGGCTGAAACCGCGCTGATAGAAGGTCCATGCCACGGTGACCAGGACGGAGACATTGGCAGACGGACGAGGCACTCAGACGTGGACGGAGACATTAACACGGAGGAAGAGGAGCAGACGATGACCCCGTGTGACCAACAGGTTATGAGTTGATCAGTTTACGTATTGATTATAGTTGACACTATAATTAATGTGGGGTGAAGGGAGTGTGGCTCAAAAATTCATGGTGAATAATACTACTCCTTCAGACACAACCAAGATTATTCTTAAAGATTTTTTTGTGTGCGTTGAAAATTTTATTTCATTCTCAAGACTCAACAAGCATTATGTTCAGACTAATAAATGTTAGAGTTCGGCCCCAAAACTTGTACAAGAATTTCCACTGTTTATATCAGGAACAGGCATTTTAAATAATAAAAAAATACTAGTCAAACACTGATGCGTTTGATTGATTTATCAAATATTCACACACATCTACGTCCATCTTCACTAAATGATCTCCTCTCCACCGGAGAACGTGATTCTTTACTTTTTATGACACATCCCTGCTCAGCTGTAATTGTTAAAGTGGGTTGGTGGTATTTTAAAAATGAAAATATATATGTGTGATTGTGTTGAAGAGAGAGAGGATGCTCTCTTCATCAAAACGTTCTAAAAATACAAAAAAAAAAAACACTCAATACTTACTTCAGGTAATTTATCAGAACCAAGGAAAAAGAACAGAATGATGGTGTTTTCAATGACAAATTAAACTGTATTGTGTGCCTGTGCCTGTATTCTATGCCCACAGAAGAAACGTAAGACTGAAAAGTTACGCTGCTGTTTCATCTGCATCAGCATGTTTGGTTTTCCTGTTCGACGGGAGAATGTGGTGAACTGTTCACGACACAGGCAACAGCACACCATCACACCACAGAGCTGCTCCAAAAATTTCTCATCACTGTCAATAGGCTCAGTTCCTGCTAGTATTAATGGGTGTAGCACGAGCTGTCAGGCACACGCACATATCAGCCAGTACAACTTACTAACAGCAGTGGGAGAGAGGAAGAGTTTTAGATTTTCTATCTATTTAGATAGAAAACACAAAAGTTTAAATTTTTTTGTCTTAGAAAACACAAAAGTTTAAATTTTTTTTGTTTTTTTTGGTCCACAGCCCTTGTTGCTTCAACTCTCAGGCATGTTCCCTGATGTCATTCACAGGTGGTGTCCTCGCTTGGCTCAGTGGGTAAAAAGTGGGACGACTACATCCTTGTTTCCCAGGATGGTGACTTGCAAGTCCCTGAAGGTGCGGGGCTTGAAGTAGGAGAAGAAGGTGGAGTAGGAGGAGAAGGAGAAGGAAGGGCCGTAGCTGAGCAAACTCCTCCTCTACGGCGAGGACGTGGCCTCGTGCGAATCGAGCCAGAGGGAGCCCCCGGGACCTTTCACGACCCGCTGATGTCTGGCGTCAACTCGGGTTCATCCAGCCCAGACGATGGCTCCACCCACAGCAAGGACTCCGACTTCACCATCGTCAACCCTAACGACCTGTGAACAATCAAACATACCCCACCCCCTCCTCTTCCTCCTCCTTATTTTCCTACTTCTCCTTCTCCTTTCCATAGCTAACTATTTTCCAGTTTTAAGGGTTTGCTAGAAAACACTGACTTGGAAATGCAGTTTTTGGTGGATCACCCCTGGAGCTGCTGTCAGCTGGAATATTGCACATGTGTACTGTGATACTTTGAGTCACAAATACTCTTGTCTCTAACTGTCCTCTGCTACCTTGGCTCTCATCTGCCTAATGCCTGTGTCCTCATAACGCTGGGTTGTCTGTCTCACTGTACTGCTCTACAGATAGAGGGCGACATTGTACCGCTCACCCTGTCACTAAGTGATGATAAATTGGACCTTAAACTATCTGTAATAATTTTCTCTTCTAGGAATGGACGTCCCGTGCCTGTTGTCTTGATCCAGAATGTGATGCTGGTTTATTTTCTGAGTCCGCAGATGTGTCCACTCCCGTGTCTGTTGTGTTCGTTTGTCTGCGTCTTAACACAGGAAGTCGTCGTCTGTCCTACGGTGGAGAACAGGACAACTTCGTCGTTGAGAGCGGTTTCTTCCTCCTCCTCCTCCTCCCAAACCAGTGCCTCTGACCATTAATCTCCTCTCAGCCAAGTAAAACCTGACTCTGTGACCTTATTCATTTTGTTAACCATTGTTTTTATATTTTTATTTTAAAAATGATTTTAACCCTAGACATTAAGCTTCCAGGATAACAGAATAATTAAATTATCCAGGGAATCTATTTTTTTTCTTCTTGTTTCGCCTGGTTTCTTACAGTCCGACTGTTTCACCACCAAAGCAGAGTTCTGTGTCCCGTGTAAACTGTGGCAGGGACAAATATGCAGAGAATGTCCCTGTAAAGCTGTCTAATCTTCAGAACTTCCGACCAATAACAGCATGATCTCTCTGTCTGTCTTTAATGGACCAATTTCACTTCAACGTTTAACGATCAGAATTGAAACAAAATAAAAAGTGACAAGTTGATCTAAAGAGAGAGAAAAAAAAAACCAAACCTCTTTAGTTGTCTACTTTCTGACATTTTAGTTAAGTAGTTTATGATGTGTTGATGATGTTTAAAAACTCAAAGTCTACATTTTATTTGATTATAAAATATTTATATATTTACTGCCAAGTAAATATTTTGAATTTAAATGTGAAACACGGGAAATTGTACACTTGACGCAGTAGGTGGCAGTGCAGTTCCTTAATTCAGGCGTAAAACAAGAAGACAACACAACACTACGAACATGAACTGACACAATATTTTGCGACTGTGATTCATGGAAAAGTCATGGGTGAGTTTGAACTGGGGGTGGGGGGGGTAGTGGGAGTCTGCAACGCCGGCTGCAGCATCTCACAAACTGTGCAGATCTACTGATTTTACCGTGAATGGTATGAAAGTCGTAAGAAGTGCAGTCAGAAGTCAGGGAGGCAGAAGTAGTCTGGTGGGTGAGAGTGGAGAGAGGATGATTGGAGAAGGTGGTGGAGGATAACATCCAGGCTGTAACGATATCTGACTTGTTGTGTCTTGGAAGTAAATGATGTGATTTAATTTGAATTTCTTGACACCTGCCATTTGGGATGAAACAAACCCAAGTTTCCTTGTGTGCAGTTGACTTGTTGCATTTGAAATTCACATGTTAGTATTGAAATTTGTCATTTAACTATAGATGGCCGTTTAAAGAACTAATCATACTAATTGTTCCTGAGAACACACTCTCCCTTCTGAACACTTGGACTTAGGGTTTGTTTGTTTTTTTGCACTAAGGGTTTTTAATTTTGACTTGAGTTATTTTTTAATTTTGACTTGGGTTTTTTTTTAATTTTGACTTGGGTTTTTTTCTTCTTCTTTGGACTTACTTTGGACTAGTGTTTGAATCTAGACAAAGTAATTGTGACACTTAAAAAGTTTACATCAATCAGCCACAGCATTATGTTCAAACTAACTGCTGTTGATGTTGTTCTTTTTCCAGATAGGAAAGGCACAGAGAGAGAAGCTGCAGTTCTACTAAACATTTTATTTAGTTCTCAGAGCCATATTGGACCAAAAAACAAATCTGTCTGGAGCTGCAGAAAATGAAAAGCCTTATATGAAGACAACACAGCTGTAAGTGTACATCTTATACTACAGCTGTGATATACACTGTATAGAAAAAATAGTGTGTTGTATATTTATGACATCAATGAACTGCTGCAGAGAACACAGAATTGTATTTCTGCATGTAACAAAATAAAAATCCAAACTTAAATTATCTATTAATAAACTTAACACAGCGAAACCAAAATTCATGTTCATGTACGTGTCGAGGATGACATTCCATAGTTCAAACATTAGTTTGTCCGGTTTGGGAAGGTTTTCAACATCACTCCATTTACAATTCTGAGCGAGAACGAACCAGTCTCTTCAGCAGTGAAAGCAAATGAATCTGCTGATGTCGCATTAAGCTTTTCTTCAGACGTATCCATCATTTACCTACCAAGGGTCGATAAGCTATTTATTGTTTATTATTGAAATATTTTTATAAAATACTTTTT